TGCGCTCTGTCTCCCTCTGTCCCACCAAACACGACCGCGGTCTGGCCTCTCGCTCCTACCTCTTGTTTCCTATTGCTCTTGTTCTCGTTCCCCCCTCGATCTCTGTCTCTGCCTCGCGTTCTCTCGTCGGCTCTTCGTCGTGCCGTCGCGGTAGAGGCGCCTCGCCGTTTGTACGTGGCGGCAAGCTCTGCCACGCACGCCACGCCTCTTTCGGGGCCTAGTCGCCGCCTCCTTTCTCCGACACCCACGCCGAGACGGACTCTGCCCGCCACTGCCGCCGCTACCACCACCATCCGTCGTTGGTACCTCCACCACAACCACCACCGCCACCGACTCCCGACGTTGTCCTCGCCGACGTCCTCGTCCACGTCCTCGTCCTCGTCGCCTTTGTCGCCCCGCCGTACTGTACCAACGCTCACCGCCACCGTCGACGGATCGGCATTCGTTCGCCTGTACACGTACTACGTTCGCGGTTGTTAGATTCTATACCTGGCCCCGCTCCTTTCCCCCAGTCTGGCATCCTGAGGCGCTGCTAACTCGTATAGCTGGGCGTAGTAGTAGCAACGGAGATGAACAGCTACGCGTGTTTACCGTAGCTACGTTTGTGTCCCCCTACTAACCGCCACCGATCTCGTTACTCAATGAGAGCGAGCGGATGGAGAACGCGATTAACGCGCAACACGTCACGTGGCATGGAAGAACGCGGTGCATCGCCGCCGCGATGTGCAACACCGGAACGAAGCGCGGCGTATACGGACTCACCGGCGCGGGCGGCGTGAAACGTTCGCCAAATTGCACCGGTCTGTCAGTATTGCGGTAACGATATTCATCTCGAAGCGATATTTTCGTTTAGAGGCAAATAGCATCTGTCATTGCGATATACACGTCGTACTTTGATTATATCTTTCTTTGCCTATCTCGTCCGCGACATACTTTTTTTATTCTCTATTTATCAGTTAATGAGAGAAAAAATGCAAATAATGTGACACGCCAGTGCAATGTCAGCCTCGCAGAAATTAAACACGTAATAGCTTGTTGGAATAAATATTATATAATAAATTAATAAAAATTCATGTTTGTTGATTCCGTTGATTCTTTGTATGTAAACATTCTTTTTTCCTTAATTCAAATCGACTGCGGTGTCATCGCTTATGATTATTTCGTAATATCCTTTCCGCAATAAAAGGAATGAATAAGAATATGATATTAGAATATTTAAAAATATTATTTTCACTAAAATATAATCGGATTTAATTTTTTAATTTTGAGAAAAATAATAATTGATTAACATTTTGCTATTCGTTATCAACGATTTAATCTTCTTGATTCTCTCTGTTTGGTCGAAACTTGCAAAGAAAAATGCAATGCAAAGAAAGCGATTGAAATCGTAACGCAAATATCGCAAAGACTCAAAGTCGGACGATGAGCGGCGATATCCAGGTGATTCGCCGCGCGCATTGTGTATTGTTCGGCTTGGAGGTGGTAGCACAACCCTCTTGCCGCCGAGCTCGCTTTCGCCTCGGGAAACGGGTCCATGGAGGTGGTGAGAATCGACCAATGGGGCGCGAGGCACACCCGCGCAAATCACAATGCTCATTGTTGTCGCCGGGCTGTCCGCCCACATCCCCGTGCCGTGTCTTCCACCACTCGTTGTAGCTCCTGTGGCACTCGCCCAGGTAGGAATCCCCGAATCGACCCCAAATTGGGACGAGCCAAGCGCAGTTTACCGCCATTACATTTCTGCAATGCGTAACGCATCGAACGGACATGTCACCGCTCAGTTCTTTCGATGATTGACCGAGAAATTTCATTTGAAAAAAATGAGTATCCAGTATATATTTTATTTTATTCACATTTCATCCATGCAAACTATATTATTTATGTTTTATAAGATAAAAAAATTGTGCTATAATAAAGTAAGTATCTTTATCAATTTACTTGAATATTGTTTGAAAACAATATTTGATACATTTGTAAAATATATTAAAAACTCTTCTTTTAATCTATATGCAAAATATGTCTCATATAACTAAATCATTAAGATTTATGTATAAATCGTTAGATATATCAGAATATCTAATCTCAGAAATATTCAAATCGCCTATTAAATATTCATTAGAATATTATATATATATATATATATATATATGATTATATCAATATGACTGAAGTTTACAACCTATAGTTTCTCAAGCATACTTCCTGATTAAATCAGTAAATGTGTCACACTGCAAATCAAAAACTAAAAATTATATATAATATAATAGACGAGACGTTGCAGTAACTCTATGACTGAAATTACATTTGCGGGGTTGTTCCTCATTTTTTATCATTTTCGTTGTCCGGTACAATTTATTTCGATGCAATCTCTAGTGTTATGTATGTCAACGTTATGCACGTGTCGCCTCGTGACATTCCTCGTAACGATCCCCCGACTGTTCTCTGCAGAGAGAAATGTATGAGAATGACGTTGGATCGTATCTCTTTCATGTTTTCTCCCTCTCGTCATTCCACCCTCCTTTTTCCTATTCTCTGCACCCTAGCACACCCTCAACTAGAGCCTCTTACCATCTCCCGAGTACACTTCGCCGCGGCCACCGCGTAATTCGTCCGTTCGATCCTCCCCGTTTGACCCTTTCCGCGTTAGACCGCAAATCGATGTTCTTTTCCTCTCGATTAAGATCGATTGCGGATCAGCGTCAATTTGTGTCGTCCTTGCAATTACATCGCATGATAGTTTCCTCTTTGCGGATAGGACCGTTTGAGACCGACTAAGAATACGACTTTCATTTTAGGTGTAATTAAAACTAATTCTAATCCTAATCGGTTAACTTTTTTTGATTAATTTCATTAATGCAATGCCGCTAAAATGAAAACCACGAAAATTATTTAAAAAATAAAATTACGAAAGACTTTGTTATAAAAAAATACAACCTAATTTTTTTTATAAATCGAATTAAAAAAATTTTATCATATAGATACTAATTATAATTTAATCGTAGAATATATGTATAATGGAATGATATAGCAATCACAAGTAATGAATTTTAAATGCTTCTGACGCATGATTTTCATTAATTAAATCTCTGAATTTTTACAATTATTATTCTCTCCATTGTGATCAAATGCTTTTATAGCTTATAGAACTTCTCTGTTAAAGTTACAATATTCGTATTATATTTATCATATTTTATCATACTAATTTATAAAATTTCGTCTCTATTACCCTGCATTAAGAATTTTTAAAATATTTTATTGATGTAAAATGAAAATCGCGCGTGCAATCTTGGATTCAGTCAAGATAAAACATACGTACTAAAAGGGAAAATGGTGTTTTCTATATACGTTGATATATCTTTGAAAATAAAATTAACCAAAAATTATAAAAGAATGTAATCGTTACTTTTCGCATACATTCCATAATATTATCTATAAATACAACATGTTTTACGACACTGCTTTGTGACGTTGCGTTCGTAAAGCGAGTACCTACAATAAAATATCACGTATTGTTGATGTGTGAAGTTTAATTCCATGTTTAAGCTGGGATCAGAGAGACCGTACATTTTCCGCTGCGGACGGGCGCGCTTAGACTTTGGCTTAGACTTTGGCGGAGAAACGCGAGATGGGCCATCGTTATGCGTTGCACAGGGTGCGTATTAACGTGGTGGCACGCGGGATACCGTGCTATTCCGGTACCGGTCGCGGGTGCGGGAGCCGACAAGAACAATGAGTGTTGTATGCGTTCCGCGTATTGCTCGTGCATCCTCCCGTAGGGTATGTCGGGCTCTATATAGTGGGTGTAGAAGAGAGCGAAAGAGGGAGAAAGAGAACAACTATTAGGAGAAAGACAGGAAAAGAGGAAAAGAGAAAGAAGGAGAAAATGAGATTTATGCGAGGCGGCGGCGTCGGTGGCGTCGGAACGTTTTGCTCACGCTGCTGGACGTCGCCGTCGTCGTCGTGGTCGCCGTCGTCGACAACTAGAAGACGACAACGACAACGACGACGACGGCAACGGCAACGACGACGACGATGAAGAAGTGCGGATGAGAGAACCTTCGTGTAGGAGGAAGAGGACAAGCGAGACGCAAGAGTCGAGATGGAGGAAAAGGAAAAAGACGAGAAGGATGACAACGCAGCCGTGGCCGCTTGTGAATGAACATTGACTTCTGAGCATTTCCGGCCGCTTGCGGTCTCTCCATCTTTCTCTTTCTCTCATTTCGCGTTTGTCTCGTTTTCTCTCTTTCTCTCTCTCTTTCTGTCTGCACCTTCCTCTCCACACCATAACTTTACCCTGTGATCGCTCTCCTCTATCTACTCGCGTCCTCTCATGAATGAGAGTCGTCGAGTTGCGATTTCGCGACAGAGAGATGGAGAAAGAGAGAGACAAAGGCAGAGCACGCTGAGCGAAGTGAACAAGGAAGGACGAAAGAATGACAGAGGGGTGGGTGAGAGAGGAGGATGAGAGAGAAGAATGAGAGAGAAGATCGGACGAACACCGTTAGCCTTAAGCCAAACGGTCGCAACGGGGCCTGAGACGAATTTAGATCAGGAATCGAGAGAACGAATGGAAAGGAGAAGGATAGAGCCACTATATGTATGCTCGCCTTCTCCTCATCCCGCGTGAGTGTCCTTTTTTTTACTCCTTCGTTCCTTATTCCTCTCTTCCTCCCCGCTTTGTTGCTCCCATTATTAATATATCGCCGTCTCCGTGCCTGACCGCCCGTTCCTTCGCGCATCGTTGCCATCGCTGTTTCTTCTTGGTTCTCTTCTTCCTTTTTCTTGCGCATCACCCCCGCCCGGCTCATCCGGTAACATACACCGTACCGATTATAAATAGTAACCTTTGTCGGACGCTTTTCTTTACACTTCCATCACATCGTCATCCCCTCTGTATTTCCATGTGGTAATGTCCTTCAGATTTTATGCGCGAATA